CTCCAACTTCCATCTTGCCTGGTGCCAGCCAGCTATGCAGCATGGCTGGCACGGCAGCTGCACTAGTGAAAAGTTGCCCCGGGGACTTGCCCAACCTGTCATTGGTACCTTACTCCTGTATACACACAAGCACATCTGGGAGGGGGTTGCTAGTGGGCCAAGGCATAGAAGGCAGCCCATGCAGAGGCAAAGTCAAGAACTGCAATGGGCATAGAACTGCAATGGGCAATGCCCCTTCTAAGTTTGTGGGGGAAACAGGGGGACCACAATTGTCAGTGACTGGGTAGCCATCAGCAAGCTACCAGTCATTCATAATAGATCTCTAGATGACTCTGCCTCAGAATGTATAAAAGAAGTGGAGGTAGAGAGAATTAATACAACTCCCATCGTGGCCTTGAAAATATTTCCTGGTCTCTTAACCTGATATCTGAACACATCCTGGGCTCACAAACTCCTTCTCTACCACTCAGATTCTCTCCCTGTTTGTTTCCAGGAGTTAGTGTTAATCATAACCGTAGTTAGCTTTGAACCAAAATTTAAAAGCCAGGTCTGAAGCCGATTTGCAAACCCTGGTTAAAACAAACCAAGGTTTAGAATGACCTGCACGGCAGATGTAATGTTTATTTTGGTTAATGCTGTAAAAGTGGAAGAAGAGGGGAATTCAAGGCTGAAGGAGGAGGAGGAAGAAAGGGTGATAGCATAAATTATGGCAGGAGCATTTTAACCTGAGAAGCACCCTGATCGCTTAACTATGAAAGTGTTATGTCTGCTCCATGACACTGTTCCTTTGATTGCATAAAATATGTGTTACTAATAAATAGTGATGGGTACTTGAGAGGTTAATTCAACCCAAATCAACTGAAACCAATGGCACTTATGTACAGGGTTAACTTCCACAAGTCAGGCTGACAATGGGTCCAGTTTATCTCCATGTTTCTATACACATTTTCTGAATTCTGCAAAATACTGAACAGTAGCATTGCAAAATGCTGTACTCAGACCCCAAAAAGGTTTAGATCAGCTTTTACTTTATAATTTCTTATATTCTAATACATAGCACTACAGCTGTCTATTAGACAGGTGAACTGACTGAACAAAAATGTTTAAAATATCCCGTTTAAAGCCTCATGTATACTGTTCTATACGATTTTTACAGGGGTGTAATTTTTCAACAATGTTACATCTAATGCTGACTTCCTGAAGAAGCTTTGACTACAATAGGCATGAATGTGTTTTCAAAGGATGATGGATAAATTGCTGGGTGGTAATATAATATATCTTAGGCAGCTGATGGAGCTTTTTATATTCTACTTGTCTGTTAGTTATACAGTTTAAAGATAATTATGGTCTATAAAACCATCCTTTCCCCTTCCTAAAACTAGCAATATTTGTCTTCTTTATAGGATCAAGAAACTCCCAATCACATATCATAAAATTAAAGCAGGTCATTTAGAAAATTTTTGAAATTAATAATATGTATAAGAAATCCCATTTTTAGTCACCAGTATGTTGGATTAGCTGTGTGGTGATAGGCTATGAAGGTGCAATGGTTTATTTAAATTGTTAGCCGCTTGGCAGTCCCTGTAAGGCCAGAAAGGCAGGATATAAATTGTGTAAATAAATAATAAAAAATAAAATAAAATATTTAGAATGGAGAGACACTATCACTGAAACATTTTCAGTGCAATCCCACAGTTATTAAACTCAATGATTTCAGTGGGTTTAGATTGCAGTTAACTTTGCATAGAATTGCACTGCTTTAAACCTTATGCCTTATAAAATGCCTTATAAAATGCTCTAAAATCTTATGCCTAAACCTTGAGAGTACTCCGTCTTTCTGTGTTATACCTCTGAGGATGCCAGTCACAGCTACCGGTGAAACGTCAGGTCCTACAATGCCAAGACCACGGCCAGACAACCCGGAAAATCTACAACAGCTAAAATGTAGATTGCTTTACTGAGACCATATTTTAACAGATGGCAAAAAATGACTTAGGGTACTTATTCATGCATTTCATTTTTCTCAGGGCAGAAAGATTTGAAGGCTATGATACACATATACATGTTCCTATATGCAGAAAAACCACCAGTCTTTTTTTTCATGCTTGAAGGTATTACATCAAGACCGAAACGTAATGAAGGCATAACAATCAGAGTGACTTACAGCAGACAGTCAATATAAGTAACATTTCTTTCATAAAGTTTTTGGATAGGAAATTCTACTTAAAAAGCTAATACATCGTATAGGATAATTATATAAAGCTTATTCTTCAGTTCGCTCTCATCGTAAAATGTCATTCATCAGCAGTTTGGTGTAGTGTTTAAGAGTGTGGACTCTAATCTGGAAGAACTGGGTTTGATTCTCCACTTCTCCACATGCAGCTGCTGGTGTGACCTTGGGTCAGTCTTAAATTCTTTCAAAGCTGTTCTCTCAAGGACAGTTCTCAGGATAGCTCTCTCAGCCCCACCTACCTCACAGGGTGTTTGCTGTGGGGAGGGGAAGGGAAAGGAGATTGTAAGCCCCTCTGAGACTCCTCTGGGTAGTGAAGGGCGGGGTATAAATCCAATATCTTCACTACGCCAGTTTGGTGTAGTGGTTAAGTGTGCGGACTCTAATCTGGGAGAACCGGGTTTTATTCCCGACTCCTCCATTTGCACCTGGCTGGATGACCTTGGGCAAGCCATAGTTCTGGCACAGCTGTTCTTGAAAAAGAGCAGTTTCTGTCAAGAGCTCTCTCAGCCCCACCTACCTCACAGGGTGCCTGTTGTGGGGAGGGGAAGGGAAAGGAGTTTGTAAGCCGCTCTGATACACCTTTGGGTAGTGAAGGGCAGGGTATAAATCCAATCTCTTCTTCTTCTTCTATACAGAAAATGCTAAACGCAAAATTAAAACCTTTAAGCAAAAAGTCCAGTGTAAAAAGTCGACCCAGTTCCACTTATTTTTTGGCAGAATATATAGAATAAGGAGCTTGACAAATCTACTTTTTTATTCATTTACTGTCTTCACAGGACATTGTTGCTTGCAGAAACAATAATATCCCAAAGTACAGCCACTTACTACTTAGTTTTCCATCTGTAAAAAGAAGAGTACCTGAAACATTAAATAGCCCTAAAATCTGATTTTAACATTGGGGTACTTTTCTTATCTCAGCCAATGCAAGGTAAAGGGATTTTAAAAAATGCCCCACTAATTAATGAAATGTTATAACTGTCTGTAGGTTGGTGCAAACAGTGGGCTTCAATGAAGAAAGTTTACTGCACCACAGAAAAATATATATTACTAAGAGTAGAAGAATAACTCACAAATACCCAAAGGATTAGTGATTAATCTGAAGCAGGCTCTGGGTACTGTGTAACACAATGACTTCTGCCAACACAGATTTTGTTCCATGACATTTTACTACCCCAACATACACTGGTATTTGGCTGTGGTAGAGAACACACCCATAAATCTCTGTGTTTCTCACACTTCTCTCAAGTAATTTAGGCTTGCCAACCTCCAGGTGGGCAAACATAAAGAAACACCGTGTTAGAACAAAACACACTCTACTAATATGCACTTGTGTCTTCATATATCGATTTAAATACAATAGAGACCCTAGTGTATCTTACACATCAGGTGTAGGAGCAGGACCAGGGTACTTTAATTCATCAGGGTACTTTAATTTATCAGGGATGCCGCCCCAGCAGGATCACCTTAGCAATGCTGCTGGCCCAGCCTCTCTGATGGCTTCCAACACAATCCCCCCACCTCCTACACCTAACAGGTGGTTGTCTGTCAGGTGCAGCAGCGGTTGCAGGGGCTTAAAGCCATGCAGTCTACAGAGAGGTCCTTCAGTAGAGAGAAAAAAAGAATGTATGTCTCACTTAATTTTTTACACTACAATCTTCTCCATTAAAATTCCTACAACAAATGTTACATTTCAAATTTTACATCATCAGTATTATAACTGGATTTACGGAAGTTAAATACCGTAGCAAAGCACGGGTATCAGGCTAGTATTCAAGAAAGCCCCGGAGAAGCCTTCTATAGAATTGTTGACCTGTGCACTGTAGCATTGTGAGCTTTGGTTCCAGGAAAAATATGTCTGCCTGAAGAAGAATCTGTCAAAACACGCAATTGTTGCCTGGGAGATGTGTTGCTTGCTTTGATGCTTGTTGTATCATTTTTTTGTGGAAAACATAACAGCCTGCTGCATCTCTCATGCTTGCTTTGATGGTTGCTGAATTACTTCTTGTGGAGAACATAACAGCCTGCTGCATCTCTCATCGTTTACGACTGTTGCAACCTTCATCAGTCTCTTACCAGGAGCAAGATAGTCTACAGCATTGGAATAGGTCTCTGTAGCTGTGGACTTCTCTGTTAGTAGATATATAATGTTCTTTAGTTTTTTGCATTATAATTAATATGTATAAGATACACTAGGGTCTCTATTGTATTTAAATCGATATATGAAGACACAAGTGCATATTAGTAGAGTGTGTTTTGTTCTAACACGGTGTTTCTTTAGGTTTGTCTATGTTTGCCATGTTTCCCATTTGCTTGTTGCTGGCCCTCCTGGATGGAATTACTGTTTAACTACAGAGCACAGAGATCAGTTCCCCTGGAGAAAATGGCTGCTTTGGAAGGTAGTCTCTGTGACATTATACCCCAATGAGGTCCCTCCCAAAACCTTACCCTCCATACACTCAACCCCCAAATCTCTAGAAATTTTCCAGGCTGGAGCTGGCAACCCTACTCCGCGTACTTAATATCCTGAACAATGTTAATAAAATTGTGGTTTGTGTTTAACATCAAACATAATGTATTTTACAGATCAGACAGTTCAGAAATGTTTGTCCCAAAAGATTAATAGAACAATTCTCAACAGAGTTACATAGTCCTATTGACCACTGAAATCAAGGGTGCACACTCCTTAGGACTGCACTGTTAAGTGTGGTTCCATAACACTGTCTAAAAGATACTGAACAATATCACATTGAAGAAACTTTTTCTTTACCTTTAAAATGTCAGCAGGCTCCTCTTTAGCTGAAGCAATGAATAAATTATGTCCACAAACGATTCCCTCTGCAAGGAAGTGCTTGAACAATAGACTGGAGTAGATACCATATGTATCTTCCTCTGTGGGGGAAAAGAATAGACAGATTACCAAGAGAAGCAGATTTGTTGGTGTGTAAGAAAGGCCCCCCCCTGACCTGGGTAGCTCAAGCCAGCACGATCTCATCAGATCTTGGAAGCTAGGCAGGAGATGACATGGAGAATGGGAGACCACCAAGAAAGTCTAGGGCTGCTATGTAGAGGCAGGGAATGGCAAATCACCTCTGAACATTTCTTGCCTTGAAAACCTTATGGGGTCACTGTGTAAGCTGGCTGCAACTTGACAGCAAAAAAGGGGGTGGGGGTGAGAGACCACAAACAACTTGCCAATACTGCTTCAAGATCTGTGCATATTTTCCTCAATTTACATTCACAGTACTATAAGACCCCAGTGAATAACATCAAGCAGATGGATGGAACCAAAATTAAGGACATGTCTCTGTCATAGGCTATATTTTCACTTGATCAAGCTACAAAGCTTTGGAGAGCTCCTGATATAGGGCAGCCTGAACAGTAGCATATTCTATATTACCACTGGCCAGATGCCATTTTCAGAACAACCTGCCCAAGAGCAACTCCATGTTTAGAACATAATGAGTTGTATCCAACAATATCTTCTCCCAGAGCAAACCTGACAAGTCAGACTTCTCACTTCCCCCAGCAGACAGCTGACCCTCCAGAATTATTATTTTTTTTGGGGGGGGGGGAGTAAGTGGACCCTCAGAAACAACATGGGGGCAAATTGAGGGTATGCAGTGTGTGTCTGTATAGGACAGGGGAATCTGCAGAAATCATAACCTCTCTTCTGGATGGAAGTTCCCTTAAGTCTTTGAAATTGCATGGGTGAATAGAAGTTAAGATAGCAAAGAGTATCACAAAACATTTAGTATTTAACCAACTGTGGCTCAGAAGTCTAGGACCAAACAGAATGTCTGAACTTACCTGAATTATAAGAAAGAAAATATTGGTCTTATTTCTGTGCTAAATGACAAACATACTCTTCTCCTACGCTTTGCTGTACTGCTTCAATAGAGCACACAATAGGGTTACCAACCTCCAGGTGGAACCTGGAGACCTCCCGCTATTACAACAGATCTCCAGATTACCAAGATCAGTTCCTCTGGAGAAAATGGCTACTTGATAGTATGGTATTATACCCTGGTGAGGTCCCTCCCTCCTGAAACCCTGCCCTCCCCAGGCTAACCCCCCAAATCTCCAGGTATTTCCCAAAACAGAGCTGGCAACCCTAGCACAGAATCAAGGCCTTGCTAACTAGTGAAAAGGAATACTTCATGGAAGAAGGAGGAGGAGGAGGAGGAGGAGATTGGATTTATACCCCGCCCTTCACTCGGAGTCTCATAGCGGTTTACAAACTCCTTTCCCTTCCCGTCCCCACAACAGACACCCTGTGAGGTAGGTGGGGCTGAGAGAGCTCTGAGAAAACTGCTCTTTCAAGAACAGCTCTGACAGAACTATGGCTTGTGCAAGGTCATTCAGCAGCTGCGAGTGGAGGAGTGGGGAGTCAAACCTGGTTCTCCCAGATTAGAGTCCACGCACTTAACCACTATACCAAGCTGGCCTATCACACCTTTATAAACTGTGTAAACCCCCAAATTCATAAACACTGGCTTCAGTAAAGATCATATTCAGAGGAGACAGACTGTACAGAAATTTCTTCAGATTGAAGGAAAGACCGAATTCTTCTGCATCTTTTAAGGTGTATAGGGACTTTGGCTTCAAGAACTCAACTGTAGGAGACATTAAATATTAAAGTCTGACATAAGGGGATCTGAACATACAATTATATTTTGGTGGTTTGCTTGGAGCTCAGAGATGTATGCTGCAGGCAACTTCAGTGAGGAAAATGAGTCACCAGCTGTGACATGAAGGGCTGCCAGAGAAATGGATGTGCCATTGCAACCAACCATTACAAGTTGAAAACTTTTTGATATGGCCCTAAACTAATGGCTTGTAGGAATGAAAGTATGTTTTTACTGAAATTAGACCTTTGATGTTTGTCATCTGCTTGCTTGGTTGGGGTGGAAGAGCCTCTGCTTTTTAACGCAGAAAGCCTGAGGTTCAATCCCCAGCATCTCCAGTTGAAAAGGCAATACATTATGTGAAAGACCTCTATGTGAGACCATGGAGAACTGCTGCCAGTCTGAGTAGACAATACTGATCTTGTTGGAAAAATGGGCTGATGCAGTTCTTACCAGGGACCCCCCTCCCAGATGAGTGTTCTGACTCCATCTTGACTAAATTTGCTTTGGTAGCCATTTTAGGAGCTAGCAATGCCATACTTTGGAGAAGGTGAAGTCAAGATGCTCCTCAGGCTAAGCTAATGAGTGGCTAAAACTGTGGACAGGAGACTGATTCACTAATGGGACATCTACATGCCTACCCATTGCCACGGGGACTTGCAAAGCCAGGCACCCCCCTAGATCTATCAGTGTCATTTCATCAGGAAAGGCAAGACTGAGTACAAAATCTAATTACTATCAAGCAACCAATTGGCTTGATTAAGATAAAATATAAATAATTAAAATCAAAATATCTAAAGGTACTTATCATGCTAAAACATTTCACCCTTCAGATTCAGCTTTCACTCGTACTTTCCTGGCTGCCAAGGCAAACAACAGGGCTCTATATGAAATGAGTGAGTCAATATCTGAGAGCAGGTCAGTTTTTCTGCTTCCAAAGAAGAGTTTAAGCCCTTTAAGAATGCTGGAAGAAATGTTATTCTCTGTGCAAATATGGCAGAACATATCGGGGTAAATAGAAACGGAGTTCTGAGCAAAGTAAATGTGTCCCCCCCCCCCCAGTGACTATCAACAAAGCTGTTTGCATGGTCTGGAATCAAATAGATGTAAAGGCTATTGTGGATCCATGGGCAAGAAGAGAGGCAAGTGGTGGCAAGGGGAGAATAATACATGCTGGAGTAATCCAAGGCCACAACTTTATTGATTACAGCCACTGGAGCTTTGGTGAGGAATGGGGGACAGATCCATGCAATGGCAATCCTCCTAGCCTTCCTGCTGGGTGGAACTGCACAGGATGGCAGACCTTGGGATCCCACATTGGCATAAGCCAATGCATGGTTCCCTGCCACCTGGGAGTGAAGCCAGGTTACAGCCCCTGAACTGGGCACACCCCCTAATGGTTTCACCTCCAAGACCTCTTAAGGAAATCCCCAAATCACTTGGAAATGGGCACACAAGCACTACTTTCCCCCCAAAATGGATCCAGATCCATTCCCCGAAATGCCCACCAATAAGTTGTGATGAAAACACATGCAACCAACAAAAAACCCCTCAACACCCACAAATAAAGAAAGGGAAGGTAGGGAATCTGAGAAGCCTGTCTGTGGGCTCCACAGAGGGCCTGGCTAAAAGGGGGCCAGGCAGACGAGAAAGAGAACCTTGTCCTTCTGGTCCACCCAAGCAGTCCCACTCCAAGGTCCCAGTGCTGTCCATGATTGGTGCTGGAGCCATCATTGCAGAAGGCTGCCCAGAAAGTCAAGTGCGCTGGCCCACCATAGTAACAAGGAAAAGGAGAGAGGCACCTCCAGTTCCCTGCATCCTAGACCCCATCCTATGCTGTAAGACAGCCTCGGGTAAGCGTGGGAGCCTTGCTTCTGAGATTATGAAGGGTAATGTTAGACATATAGGAGGCTCTGATATGGTCCCTTTTAATCAATTTTAAACCAGATCAAAAATCTGGAGCTGGATTGCCTTTCCATAACTGCATCACATTTACCACCAGTCCCGAATATTGGTACTGGCCATAGGGACACTTTGGTTATCATCCAATATAGAGGAGCAGTGGAGAATATTGTTGTAAAAAGTACCTTTCTGTTTCATCATGAAGTATTGCCTGCTGAATAGACTGCTGGTGTCATTCCTTCACTTTCTCCAGAATCTAAGCATGGCAACCTTTATATTGGCCCTGAGTGGAGGCAAACCAATTTTCCCCCCTCTTCAGAGCTGCCTGGGTGCCTGTGGGCACGGCTAAAATTCTCTTTTAAAAGATTTTGGATGGATTCTAATTTTGTGACCAGGTGATCAATCCAGTGTCAAACCTCCACTCCATAAAGAACTTGTGGGACAGCCTTATTCTGGTATAATTTCAGAGCCAGGGCTATCAGGAAATCTCCCTTTGTGCTATACATTTTCAGAATAGCACCTATGGTCCTTTAAACCTATAGATTTGGTGACTTTGGTTCCCCCACCACCACTCTGAATATAAAGGCACTACATTGATCTATTTATTGTCCACATACATTTACAAGGCCTTTGTCTAGACCATCTCTTTGATCTTACCATAGTTAATATTTAAGGGCACTTCTCAGCATAAATTGCCTAGCTTTGTAGCACCTGTTTGAGGCTAATGCATGTGAGATACAACAGAACTGTATCATTAGCATATAGAAAAACCAACTGATATTTTACAGGAAGATTATAAATGACATTTCTTTACCATTCATTGTTTCATAACAGCAACTATAAAAAAGAGTCCTGTTAGACACAAAAAGTTCATTAGGTTCAGCACCCTGTTCCGAACAGTGGCCATAAGCAGGGCATGAAGGAAAAAGCCCTCTCTGGCTATTGGCCCCTACAGCTTTTATTCAGAGATAAACAACTTCTAAACATGGTAGTTCCATTCAGGTATCATGATTTTTTTCTATACAACATTTTATATAATTGTTCATTTCCTACATGAAAAAAGTGTGTGTGTATGTGTGGTTCCAAATTAGGGGTGTTTATCTGAATGAAATTAGGGGTGTTTATCTGAATGAAAAAAGAATCTGATTTGGCTACCAATATAGCTGAGCCTGATGAAAAGCCGATATTAATTGACTTTTATTTGGGCATGGCTCGGAGAAGGTGTTTAAAGAGTCCCGTGGCAGAACGGTTTAGAGAAGGCATTTGAAGAGACCATGGCACCAGCATGACTTGGCGAGTGAACTCAGAAGGCATTTACAGAGACCGTGGTCTCTTTAGATGCCTTCTGTGTTCGCTTAACGA